CTTTAGATCTTCCTCTCTCTCTCAGTGGATGATTAAGCAGAGAGATTGGGGAAACAGCTGTGGCGGCGGGCTTGGCATTTCTCTCCCCCTGAATGCTGCTGGATCAGCATCGAGGAGGAAGGATAAGAAGGAGACAAAAGCTGCACGTATCGGAGCCGTCGAGAGGTGGAGGAACAGCCCCGTGACACAGCGCTCGCTATCAGAGCAGACATCTACATCGCCTCTTAATGCAGAGAAGCTAACATACACGTTCACTTCCTGCTGGTTTCCACTTACAGTGAGTATCAACAAACTCAGAAAACATCAATGCAGTTACTCCTTAAGATGGATTATTGATAGTAACATCAGGTCGAGGTGCAACTGTTAGCTAACCTGAAAATCTCAAATAAATTCCTTTTGTCCTGGATCGCCACATTCGGGCTGCAACTAACTATTGGACATTTGGTCAGACAAAACAAGCAATCCGAAGACGTCACCTTGGCTTTCAGGAACTTCTGATTGTGAAAAATGTGTCACTACATTCTGACACGTTAGCGAAAGCTATTAATAATAATAAAAAATCATTTAAAGATTAATGGAAAATGAAAATAATAGTAAGCTGCAGCTCCGTTATGTTTATTTTCAAAATTAAAGGATCAGTGTGTAAGATGAATCACCTTAAAAATAAGTATTGTTGTGTTTTCGCTACCTTAGAATGAGCCCTTTATATATAGAGAGGGAGCGGGTCCTCTTCCAGGTTGCACCGCCCTGTTTCTACAGTAGCCCAGAATGGACAAACCAAACACGGGCTTCTAGAGAGGGCCTTTCGTGTTTTCACAAGTTTCATGGCCAGGTACTCCTCCACCCTTGGAATGGGAGGGAGAGGCGAGCGGTATTCAGGTGGTTGCAATCTGCAATTTCACCACTAGATGCCCTTAAATCCTACACACTGCTCTGTTAATTAAGTTGTTGATAGTTTTTTTCGATTACTTGATCAACTGCTTGGTCTATAAAATGTGAACGCTGATCCCAAGTTTCTGGAGCCCAAAGTGATGTCTCCAAATGTCTCGTTTTGTCTGGAGCTGCAGTCAATGAACTGTTTAGTCAGTAGAAAGAAACTTAATCTGCAACTATATAATAATTAGTAAATTTTAGTTGCAGTCATAAACCAGAAAGATTTTCAATTTACAATGATATGAGACAAGTAGCAAACTCTCACATTGGAGAAGCCGGAGACTGTTTGACATTTTTGCATCATTATTTACTTCAACATTAATTCATCGACTAATTGTTTCAGCACTGCACCAGATTGTATTACATTTGAAATCCTACCTGTTTACACAGTGACATGCAGGGCTTAACTGAGTTCAGCCTCTGTAATACAAACAGGCAGATGCCAAGCATCTGAGCGGACTGACAAGTCAATGTAGTGTAGGCTTCCATGCACCTTCCATAATCAGACCTCTGGCTCATTTCATCCTGTCAAACACTACTCGGCTGCCCTCTGTAAAACACCCTATTTTCACCCTTCAAAAAATAACATTACATCACTCGGCTAGTCATTTTTATAAATGGAGGATCCCCTAGGCTTGAAACCTTACACTATACAAACACGGGCCACAAGAAAGCTGGCCTTTTGTTGAGGTTGAGAGGAAAAAAATTAAACAGCAAGTCAGAGCAGCACATTTACTGAGCAGCTCAGTCAAGGAGTGGTTTTGTTTGACACTGCTAGAGATTTATGATGTTGGTGAAGTGTTTACAGAGGTCAAGGCAGCTCATTTTCTAAATCAGTTTGTCAAGTATTTGCTTATCTAAAGAGGCCTTTTCATCAATCATAAAAAAAAAAAACGACGGTGAAGATTAAGAGAAAACAGTTCACCTTAAAATAGCAGTATTTTTACAGAGAAGCATAGCTTAATGGATTATATAAAAGAATGAAAACTTGGATTAAGTTGTGTCATATTATTTGATATCCGTATCTTTACCAGCCTGCTAAATTATATTCAGTTAGCGGAAGGATAAGGTTTCATGGGCCAATAGCAGAGGAGACGCATTGTTTGGAGATATTTTTGGAAAGTCTTTGTGAGAACCTCTCCTACCAGAGCACACGGCGTTGCTAGGACAAGTGCTAATAGACAAAACCTGCTGCTCATACCTTTGCTCCACATTTTGCACACATCGAGCAATATAATTAATATGCTTTATGTAGTTTATGCTTCGTCTCCTCTTAGGAATGCAGTAGGGCACACATACACACACACACAGAATCATGCACAGATTCTGAAAAACAGCATTCCTTTGAAGTAAAAAAGACAATCCAAATATGCCTGGAATGAAACAAGACAAAGCCGATGTCTGTCAAAAATGGAGAAAAAAAGTGTTCCTTCCTTGTCCTTTCCTCCCAGTGTCGTGACACCATTGTGCTTGTTTATACTGCACAATATTTCTGTTGGCCATCCCTCACTTCATCCAAGTAAAAATACACAGAGTAGGTCAGAAGTTCAGGCCCTAGATCAGCACTGGCATTGTGTCCTGCAGGTGCTGTCAGCCGCTCCGGGGACAGCCAGGGATAGAAAATATACACAAGCAAACAGCAGCTCTGTGGACACACACTGTCTCTGACTCTGAAGGTACTTGGGACAACATTTTGAGGAGTAGCTGTATGGCTCGGACAGTCTACACACACCCTGAAATATTTAAAGGCTGAACTGGGAAAGTTCGGCTGCTGGTACAAAAGGAGGAGAAAATTGATACAGGTTTGTTTTCTAGTCAGTTCAGTTTCATTGCTAAAATACTGAAATAAGGACAATAACACAAAATTAAAACCAGGCATTTTGTCAAAGTAAGTTACAACTAATGTTTTCAATGATCTCAATTTTTTTTTGCCTTCTGTCAAGCCTCAATGTGAAATTACTGTAAGTGTAGCGAAAGAAGCTACACTACAAATATTATGATACCAACAACTTCCCACCATTAGACAAGTAAAATTTCCACTGACCATCACAACTAGAATTTAATATTTGAAAATGAAGAAAACTTAAAATTTTAAAATTTGAATTACAACACAATAGCAAATTAAATAAGCCCCAAATATATTTTAGCCCTCATCAGGGTGTCTTAATTCAACCCCAAAAGGAGAGCAAACCACTAGAGGAAGCAACAAGCTGCAACATATTCTAAGAATTTTAGATAAGTGAATTGATATTGATACACAACAGTTATTATTAATTATTAACCCTAACCTAATGGAGGAAGATGACCCCCCCCCCCCCCCCCCCCCCGCTTTTTAAAATAAGTTTCTCAACAGACTTGATAAGTGGAAATGGATCTTCTTAACACAACAACACTGCAGAAGAGTTGAGACTGACAATTATGAAATAATGTTTGAAGCTCATTAACTGTAGTGATCATGGTGATTTCATACTGTGGAAACAAGTGAAGAATAGCAAACATACCTAGGACTAACAGAGGACTTATTCAGAGTACACATACGTTTTATTAAATCCAAATTTATGTATTGGAAATCAATCCTAAAATGATCCCAGCATTAGAGGAACTGTTTCAACTCTAGAAATGTGAAATATTTCTCACTAAAACTTGCAACAAAGCTAACTGGATAAAATCAAAGGCTACGAAAACAAGACAAGTACCAGATCTCCTGTGAACAGCTCCATAAGCTGCACCTTGTATTTATAGGTTGCCAGCTGAAAGAGAAAAGAATGGATGTGCAGGCAGGAAGAGGTCCAAGTTACTTTGTACTCTCAGCAGAGCCGAACTTTAGATGAACTCTGAGAAGCGCCAGGGAGTAAAACACTATGCATAACTGTGTCACTCCCCCTACTAAAAACCTACCAAGACAACAAAAAAGAAGTGCGAGCCAGCAGGCTTCAAAAGGCCCTCTGCTCCCTCCTGAGGCAGTGGCCGATTCAAGATAAACTGCCGGGCTTGGGGGCAGGCGTCGAGGTGAACTTCAATGAAAACATCCATAAAAGCACCAGGCGAGGGTGGGATCACACACGAGAAGCAACATAAACAGCACCAGTCAACGCTGCCACAAAGGTCAAGTATGAGCAAGTGCAACTTTGGGGACAATGAAAACAGTATCTTCTTCATCCTCCATCCATTCCACTGGATTTCATGCACTAATGAGTGTGAAACACACAGAAAGCGCTGCCTCTCCCTGTAAAATGGCATGCGTTGGCAACTCCATATCTCAACAGTGTAAGTTTTGAAGAGTCCTATAGCACATCAGTCTAAAGACAGGACAATAAAAGACGAGATGCACGCTATCAGTCTGAAGTGCACTGAATTCTATCTGTGCCAATTTCAAAAATGTCACAGGGAAAATGATTTGGAAACATGACTTACGCCTCCTATGTTACGTTATTTCTCTCCTAGCAATTATTCTGCTGACACGCTCTCTCACAACTGCTTTAATAGAGAGACACAATACAGAATAGAAAGAGACGTATTCACCAGACTTGACAGTTAACTCACAAGGGGAGACATCAACGTGCTTGTGACAATTTTGCTCAATACTCTCTATTATTCCACAATAGCATCAAAAAAACTCATTCATATGTTGACACAATAATTGATAAGGACTGCTCAGGGTAATTGTCCACAGTTCCTATTGTGAAATAGTTACAATGCGCAGCCTTTAGAGCTACAGGAGGAAACACATGTCTTACATGTCAGTGAAATTTATATGGTTAATTGTGTGGTGACTGAATATCCAACATCAGGTTCTCCAATGTGAATTTGAGTCTGAATTGCAAATTACCCTTTTGCTACTAAAATAGCCCACACAGAGCTGGTACTGTGCCTCTTTGGGTTTATTTTTTTTTTTTTATTTTTTTTTTTTGCAACATGCCCATTAGTGAAAAATGCTGTGTGCAATATCATATTCATTGAACGTGGTTAAGGAGACATGGAGGATTCCTTGTATACAGTATGGAGACAACAACAGTGCAGTGTTTAGTGTTTTCTCTTTTTGGACTGCAGAATGAATGTGAACATACCTGTTTTTTCTTTGATTTCACACAAGACATTGAAAAGAGCTGGCTTCATTCTGTGACAGTTCAGAGCGTGTTTCCTGAAACAGAAAAGTGGCTTCATAAGCAAACCACATTAAAATATTATATATAAAACTTATACAGCCTTTTAATTATTGGACAGTAAGGCCGCCTCTTATCATTTTTATTTTTATTTTTTACTTTTATATAGATGCTATGGTACAATTACAGGCACAAACAACACAACTATTTTCAAATAGATTGTTAACACCTGGACCTGTACACATGTGCACCAGCTCCATTGTTGCAACCTATATCCATTTACCTATAAAGTAACTGATATTTACTGAAACTGAATTTATTTAGCTTCATCTGTTGTCCTGTTATTATATTGTCACAGCAAAATTGTACAATTCACATATAAATAACTTCTTTCTGACTATCAATTTTAAAAAAACAAAAACATTTTAAATGTATATCTTTTGTCAGTCACTTGCTGAATGTTGCTGAATTTAATGTGGATTCTACAAGATGGATGAAACCTTGAATTGTGCATGAGGTAAGTAAGTGGTTGCATTTTTTCACCGCGCTGTGAACAAGCCGTAAGCCACTTAAAAGACAGCCTGAAGTGTTACTCAGTAATTACCTCTCATATTTAGTAAATAAAATATAACCTGGATTTGTTTGGTCTCATGAATGCACCATGACTGCATAGAGGTGTAAATTGCTTTAAAAATACTCTTGCGGTGAACACCACATTCCAACACGTTTTTACTTTTTTATCTAACACTTTTATTTTCTCTGCAAGGAGCGCGGTGTTGGAGTTATTTCATTGTGAAGCAAACTTGATTTGCAGGCATGCCATCGCTATTTTCCACTGTTTTCGTCGGCTTTTAGACAAGGCTGTGCAGTGTCCTTACATTTAGTTCCATCTACACCGCACTGTATTGTAAATTTAGACATTTCAATTTCCATTTTTCACCCACTCTAACCTGAAACCCTCTCCTTTTTTAAATTTCTAGTTTGCCGCCGCCTCCTCCTGACAGTGGAAGAAGAGGCTGAATCGGATCTTTACCTCGCTTGGGCTTCGTCCAGACTTTGATCCGTGATGGTCATAATTTGCTGTAAAATGTCTCCAATGTCCTGTTTTCTCCCGTCGCCGTCCGTTCCTCCGGTGCCTTCCTGCATATGCTGCGGCAGGCCGGGGTGCCCTGCCATGCCTACCCCCGTGTGAGAGTGCATCAACCTCGGCTGCTCGTCCATCTCTTCTCTCTATCTTATTCTCTGTGTCGCTCTCGCAGCTGAAATCCTGCAAAAATACATAAAAAGACAAAAAAGGAGGGGGGCAAATCCCGGTGGTGTTTTGATATTTGCGCCGCGCACCCACTTTTTCCTCGCTGGGGCTTTTTCTGGCGCTCGCCAAACAGAAAGGGGGGGGGGGTCTCGGAGGGGAAAGCGGAGATACGAGCTCTCCTGCTCCCTGGCTGTCTCTCTCAGCTGGTCGGAGCTGAATGTGAAATCTGATCTGAACTGCTGCTGCCTTCACTGGAGTAGGGTGTGCGTAAAAAGAGATAGGCTGCTGGTTTCAACTACTAACATGAACTAGGACGTTTTCTTGTAATGTGGCGCAGTGATCCAAAACCCACTCCTCCTGCCAAATTACAAAAATGTGGCTCTGAGAAATAAGAAGTGTGGATTTATTTCACTTACTCCATCCTCTCGCTTTTGTCATGTACAGTACAGGCTGGGCAGGCAGCAGCGTAGCGAGCGCGTCAGACTCCGCCCACGCGACATGATTGGGAATATAAGACCATTTAGCCCCACCTTGAGGTGCCACTCATGAAACGTCGATCATTGGTTTGTAAAGGTGGGATGCAGAGAAGCTGGGAGAAGTGGCTGCTGCCTTAAGCAAGCAGGGAGACGGTACGGAGTGGCAACACGGTGATGAATAGAGCTTGAACTCCAAATAAATAATAGTGGCTGACACAAGAGGTCTGCTTCACTCTCCCCCTCTGACCTCAGCAAGAGCCCCCACTGGCTCCACAGGATACCATTTCGTTTCTGTGCTGTGCCAAGATACAAGGTACACTAATCAAAAGTATTGGCCAGCCCTTTCATTTGTTATACTTATTAGAAAGATAATGTGATTAAAGATTTATGGCTGGAAAAATCCACCCACAGATGAGACACCGAATGAAAAAACAAAACACCTTTGTGATTTGAATATTTAATTTTGATGTCACATGATCTTATACACAATCTTTCAGTCAAACATGATTTTCTTGCTGTTGCAGTAGGCAGTGGAACATCGACTTTGTTCTTTCATTTTCAGGTATGTTGCAGGGCTCCGCTTGGCTGACTTCGGCAGGGTCCTCCTAATGTAAGGCGGTGACCCATGTTGCGCAGCCAAGCAGCAAGGCCCGAGTGTGTCTGGCCAGGCTGAAAAGTGCCCTTCAGGCCCAGTGCTGCCTCACTGCCGCTGCTCCCCTCCACCACTGAGAGCCATTCAGAGGGAAGAGACGAGGAGGTGGAGGAGGAAGAGGAGGAGGGACATAATAAAAAAACTAAAGTATGATCAGTACTGTGCAAATCATCAGCATGAATGTATATACGTGTGACACACATAATAAGGAATATGTGTAAATGCTAAATGTCACAGTGGTTTATTGTGAGCCGCCAGATGTTGATGACTTCATTTTCCCTGCCATGAATTCATTTTGACATAAACTTTTCACTTTGTAATCAATGTCCAGCAGTAGGGATTTTTAACAAAATAACTTTTTGTTAGATTTGCTAAAACTGCCACTATACCCTGATGGTAGTACCTGAGACAGAAAATCAGTGGAAAAATCTGTTACCACTGGCTTCTCCTACTGCTCCTAATGCCATTTGCAAAAATCCACCGCTCTTGAGTCAAAACAACCAATCAGAGCCGGGAGACATCTCCAACGCAGTGTCACTCACTGCTCGTGCACACGCTGCGCGTCCCCCTCCTCGTGCATGCCCTCACTCAATCAAGCTCAGTATTTGCAGTGTGCGACTTCATAAGTTCTGCAAACAAAATGCCTGAGAAACAACCAGCAGCAATGACAGAACTGCGCGTCCCTCCTTTGACAACAACAGTGTAAAGTAGAAAACACTTGTGTGAACACGTCCGGTTCCACACAGAGCTTCAGGCTCATCATGTTCGATGCCATGGTGAGCGTATCGACAAGTGGCAAAGAGGCATGATGACAAACAAGCGGGAATGACTTTTGAGAGGGGACAGTGGTGTGCTAGCCTCTCATCCCACTGCTAGATGTTGTCGCAGCTGCCTCTGAAGCCTGGGGCGCTCTGCCTTGGCCTGCGAAGTATTGGAGGAGCATCTTTCAGAAGATGAGTCAAAGCGGAATCCATCGCCATGGAAAGTGAGTCCTAAGTGGGAAAAGGTTTTGCAGGGCAAATAGCTCCTTGTGGGTTCAGTGGGCGGGGCTTAGCAGAGAGGTAGGAGCAGCAGAGAGGGAGAGGCGCGGAAGGTTTTGCATTGTATGTTAAATTGTTACCAACTCCAGCTTTAAAGTTGCCTTGGGGAGTTTTCCTGAAAGCAATCCAAGTTTCGGTTTATATTCAGTGTTAATTACCAAAACACAGTTTGTATCCTTGAGGTCTAACATGTGTTGAATGTATTTCCTCATAAAACCTTTGTAAGGCATTTTTTAAAATAATTTTGAAAACTGCAAACTTTTTACATCCGTGTTTTCGCTTAGCAGTTTTCTTCTTCCCTGTATTTGTTGGCGCATTGTAGTACTTTTTGTCAAGTTACCGCCCCCTGTAAATCAGTAAAAGGAATGTGTATGGTGGTTGTGCACATGCATGAGAACAAACAAAACTGGGACCCACTTGTAAAAACACTGCTCCATAGTGCTACAAGTGATCAGAAACTCCACCGGGTCTATTTAAATATTCATGAGTAAATAAATAATAATAATAAGTTTGGAGGAAAAAAATATCCGTAGGAACAATCGCAGACTTTGCTGGTCATGAATGTCGCGAGAGTTTGATTCAGATGTTGCTAAATCCTGATTAGTGCACTGAAGTACATGACATCATCTTCTTCCAGCTGAGGCCCAGAAAACTCTCTTAAAATGAAAAACCAAAAGGGTTTCAGCTCTGATAGAGAATGGTGCGCTTGTGTAGGAGGCCGTGGCTCATAGTAAAAAGCTGATTTCAGGTTCTTTAAATGACAAGATGACTTTCCTAATTTGAGGTTGAAAGGTTCATACATTTTGCACCATATTTGTTTAAATGCCAGCACGTGTAAATGCATCAATTCTGAAACTTGAGGCCATGAAATGACCAGAATACAATATAAGCCACTATTTTATCATCTCATTAAGGCTGTTCCATAGTGAAACATTTCCTGATTGATATTAAACTATTTAAAAACATCTAGCTGCAGATTCTGCGTCCTCACAATTCAAAATATACAAGTGGGATGCACCCATTGGAATTCCTCTGTACAACTATTAGCATATTTGAGTTTGAGGTGTAGTGGCAGTGACATCTCAGACTGTCTTCCTAAGCCTCAGGTGGCGCTGCAGTGCAATCCTGGAGTTAGGTACTCTCCCTGTAGGAGCTCCTGTGAAGCACCGACCATGTAAATTGGGAACAGAATATGTATGATGGATAATGGTAAGTGTGGTAAGTTTCCCTGCCATCTGCTCAGTAGTAGAATAATGAGAATACCTGAGGGGGTCTCTGTTACACCAACATCCATATGACTCCCTAACATCTGCTATGTTACGTTAGCAGGGCATTTAGAAATCTAAATATATGCTGATACTTTCGGGCTACATGGCAAGCCAAACAAATCACAGAGCTGAAAGTGATCTTCATCCATTCATTGCCAGCTGATGTATGATCAGCCTTTCACTAGTGATAAAACAAGAAATGCTTATAGGCGTCCTGTAAAAGGCTTAATTTGCAGCAGAGATGTAAGCAATATATTATAGAGCATAGCGCTGAATATGAATTTCCCATGGCAGAGTACCATCCACACTAGTGGGATCATGTGATACCGTCACAGTTATTAAAAGTAAAAAAGGCAGACTCTAATGGCAGTGGCAAATATAGCGCCCAGGTGTGGGGCAGAACAACAGCTTTGGCCCTCACACCTCTGCACTATAGATCCTCCAGGGCACTGGTACTGTACTGCGTAGTGGAGAAATCCTCCCTGGAAGTGAACCATTTACAGTGCATTAAAAACAGTTAAAGTAATGTGAGCTTATTAAATGAATTAATGAAATCTACAAAGAGAAAGAGAAATAAATCATTTGTGTAATTAATTCATATATATGTTATTGCCTCCATTTGAGGATTTATTATTACTTCTGTTCTGGTTTTATCTGTTTTACCTTAAATATGCAGTCACATGGGCCCAGTATGGGCCCAAATGTATTTTTGGCTGATCTGGGTCACAGCATAGTGAAAGCCTACATGAAGAAAAGAAAACCCTCTGAATGGTGGATCCTTTATGTTTATGTGTTTGTTTTTGTGTTAATTTATTTATTAACACATTCATTACTTCATGTGTGTCAATTCTATTTTCTTCTCCTTTCCAGGATTAACAGAGGCCCAGGAGCCTATCCCAGCATGCACTGGGCAAGAGGTCAGGTACACCATGGATAGGGTTGCTATGTTGTCACAAGGATTATTTTAAGTAACCTATATCTGACTTGTATCCAGATGTGATTTAATAAACATTTGTTTACACTTGGCCACATTTGTTTTTGTGATATTGGACTAAAATTGACTTGACTTAACTGTATATCTGTTAGCCACATCATAAATCTGATTGCGTCTGCCTTTTCTCAGACTACATGTAAATCAGCTTCAGGCCCACACGAGGCCAGAGGGTGGTGGTAATGCACCTGAAGTTGTTTGCTAACAGCTAAAGACACCCGAAGAAGATTAACTTAAGCAGTTTAGTTGCAACAGTAACACTTTAGCTAGGTAGCTAACAACTCTTTCAACTAATAGAAAATCTTTGGTGGCTCCCATGTAGGTGTGTGCAATATTGACAAAAAATGATGGTTGATAACGATAATTAGACGATATTTGGCATCTTTTTAAAAATTTGTTTGTAAAAGTCTAATATTATACTATCTTGCTCTTGTTAATAGGATATTAGCTGTCGCTTAGCCTACGAATGGTCTTATTTATTTACATAAAACTAAAGCATTCAAGTAAAAACAATATAAAAACCCTGAAATCACGAAATCAAACAGTAGAAGTGTAAGTAAACCACTTTATCTGTTGCTGTAGCCGCTGATTTCTGTTGTAGCTGTTGTCTTAAAGGCTTTGATTCTGTCATCATCACTGTAGCGGTGTTTGAACCAGAGTTTGTTTTTGAGCTGGTGCCTTGGCTGGTTTAGGCCTTTCCTGGACAGCTGACTATGAGAGCTTTTTCCAATTATTGACATTCTGTGCAGTGGCTAGTTAGTGGTCTTTAATGGCAACTGCTTTTCGACAGACAGTTTGCAGATTGATGTCTTTTGAGCATCATTTTTTTTCAAAGCCAAACCACCTCCATCCGAGTGAAGTCAATCTAACAATGTAAATTGAGAGGATGGGGGTGTCAGTGTTTTATCTCCTGGTGCTGTTTGTTCACTCGTTTTTAGTTGTTTTCAGTCATACATTTTCTGGCTTGTTGTACTGCATGCATGGCGCAGTGAATTCACA